GACAGAGCAAAACCAAGCAACAATGTACAACAAAACAGCAACAACAACAAACCATTGACAAAGAACAAATTAAAACACAACAAGAAAGAAAAGCTTGTAGTTAGTTCAAGGACTGAATAGTACTTAAAGCAGCTTAAATACACATGAAGAAAGTTCCACAGGAGGTGTGAGCGCGCAACCTGTAGGCAGTGGTCCTCTCGCGTTGAACTTCCGGAGACACCTGCTGCTGGGATCGGACAAATAGACTAGGCGGCGGTCACCCTAGGGGAATACCTCTGAGGGCTCTGTTGGGGTACGGGATGGGAACCTGCTCAGACCTTCTGCTTTCCTGAAGTGCTTTTCTGTAATGAGCTCAGCACCCTCCTCCCCACCCGGAAAGCAAGCAACTGCATAGGACACACTCAGCAGGGGCCTTGAATGAGAGGCTCAGTGGTGTTCCCGTTCCATGGTCTCTTTTCAAGGACTACATATATTTTATATATTTATATATATAAAATATATATAGAGAGAATAAAATTCTAGGCTTGCAGTTTCCTTTTTGGATAGCTGCCTTATTAAATAGTGTCTGATAAAAAAAAAAGAAAAAAAGAAAGTTCCACAGATGCATAATACTATTGAGGAATGCCCTACTCATAAATACACTTTCTCATTTTCTGGAGGCTAATTAAGACTGAAGTATAATTTAAAATTCTAGCTGATTTACATGTTCCTGGCATACAGCAAGGCGGGAAGATAAACATTGTTAAGAATTCAGTAAATGTTTATTCAGGGAATATTGTGACTGTAAGAAGTGGAGGAGCTGTTTGGAGACAGAATTGTGACTGAAACATGGCTCCTGTCTGGGAGATCAGAGGGTTTTTCTTGGAGAGGGGACCATCGAAGGTGAAATCTAAGTTTGTTAATCCTGTGGCTTAAAAAGATTTTAAATAGTTGTGTTTTATCATTTTGATTGGTAAAGCGGTGGTGAAAACAAATCTCTATGAGTCAGTGTCTGACATTCCTGGCTGAGTTAGTTAATTGTGCCAACCTGGCCGATAATCACATGTGGGGCTAATTGAAAGGCGGAGGGATAAATGGGTGGTGAGCCTCGACTTTCTAGTTCTCGGGTCTCTTGCTTTGTGATGGTCACACCACGGTGCAGCTGCCTTAGCAGTTTCCTGCTTCAGCTTGCAAGATTGACTTCCTACAAGACATCCCCAAGGAGAAGCCACATGGATCTATCCCGATGCAGCCCTGGGTGCTGGAGCAGCCGTGTGGAGACCCCTGCTAGTGCTGAGATGCTTATCCGTTCACTGACTCAGCTTTCCTCTTGTAGTCAGCATCATTGCCTCTGTTTTGTGAAGTGGAGGACTTTGTGGACTGGTGTTGGGTTAATGGGTTAATGTTGGACTTGTGGGCTTAGCCAGACGGAGTGAGGGGAAAAAATGAGCTGATACCAAGGGCTCAAGTAGAAAGGAAATGTTTTGAAAATGATGGCAAACAAGAAAGAAAAGAAAAGAAAATGATGGCACCAATTGTACAAATGTTGACACAGTGGGTGTATGTATGGATTGTAATAAGAGTTGTACAAGCCCCCAATAAAATTATTAAAAGGAAAAAAAAGCTCAGGACACACAGAATCCAGGTCAGATAAACCCCTCAGGAACAGAAATGGAGTAGCAGTACCAGGAGGGTTGAAACTAGGTGGGGAGAAGAGGAGGGGGAAAGAAGCTGTGGGGGGAGGGAGACAGCAGTCGATGTAAGATATGGAAATAATAATAATTTCTAATTTATTATGGGGTCACGGGTAGGAGGGAGGAGGGAACGTAAAAAGAGCTGATACCAAGGGCTCAAATAGAAATGTAAACATTTAGAAAATAATGATGGCATCATATGTACAAATATGCTTGATACAATTGATGTATGGATTGTTATAAGAGCGGTAAGAGCCCCTAATAAAACGACCTTTAAAAAAATAAGTTAAAAAAAAAAAAGTAAAAAAGAGAAAGACACATACAGCAGAATCTGAGAGGATTTCAAAACAGCAAGCTTTCAGTGTCTACTGCCCACCATGGAAGCTCACCCACTTCAGTGTCCAGAATTTTTCCTGGGTTCTCATTACATAGCCATAGCTGATTGATTATCTAAGTGATTGAACACAGTTTCTAGGTTGATTGGTCTTACATGATACAAAGCTGCTCTCCTGTAATATGGTTGGTTTTTCTGGTGTGCCTAACCCTACCCTGTGACTAGTGCCACTAGCCTCACCCTAATACACAGCATCCTCAGCCTTACTCTCAATCAGAGGTGGGGAACTTCTGCCAAGTGCCATTTGGATATTTATGACATTATTTATGGGCCAAACAAATTTATCAACTTAAAAATTAGCCTGCTGTCAAACATTTAATTTCAATCCTAAGGTGTCAGCTATGGAGCCCTAGAGGTGTACTGGTTACATATCAGGCTGTAATCCACAGGTCTGCAGTTCCAAACTACTCCCAGGGAGAAAGATGGGGCTTTCTATTCCCATATACAATTTAGTCTTGGAAACTCACAGGGAGCAGTTTCTACCTTGTCCTTTAGGGTTTCTGTTAGTGCACCTTGACTTAAAGGCAGTGAGTTAACAGTTTAATGAGATGGCTGGAACTGCTTCCTTGGTGAAAATGTGTGATGTTAACTGGTATTGATGATTTCACAGGCCTCATTCCCCACCCTGCTCTAAACAAAGACACATAGACGCCAAAAGCAAACGCCAAACTTCTCTTTGGAAAGACCAAATTGTCTACTATAATCGTTAAAGAGAACTATGTGAATTGTGTATGTTCTTGTTAGTTGGTTCTGACCCACAGTGATCACATGTATGACAGAATGAAACACTGGTCTTCACAATAATTTGCTGTGTGAGCTCTTTGGTTTAACTGCGTCATTGTTTCTCATTGAGGGTCTTCTGTTTTTTACTGAACCTCTACAGAATTGTTCATAGCTCTGAAGAAAAAAATCCCAAGAGTAGTCTGATATTATTTTCCCTCTCTTCTAGATTTAAACAGTCACATTAAATCAAGCTGGGTAATCATGGCAGAAGGTGGATTCGATCCCTGTGAATGTGTTTGCTCTCATGAACACGCAATGAGAAGACTTATCAATCTGGTAAGATAACAGAACTCTCGTATCCAGAACTGAACTGCTGTACCCTTCTTGTCCCCCTTTTTGTGAGATTATTAGTTACTGGGAATAAGTATTTCATAATTGAACATTCATAGTTATTTAAGTCATTTGGCTAATAAATGTTTCCCAATGATCCTTTTATTAGGAATAAAAAACATTACTGTTTTCATTCATGCTAGGCTTATTTTGGTGAATTGGCCAGCAGGAGTGGATAGCACGAATTAGGGTATAGCTATTTCTAGGTTATATTAATGTAATTGCCTTTAGCTCCATGAACCCTGTTTGTATGGCAAACTGATAGGAAGTCACAGTTAATATTATAATATAGTTCAAACCTTGGTCCAACACAAGGCATGACAAAAACCTTGCAGTTAGCAGTGTAATGTCTAATAGAGCTATACACTGGCTAGTTAATTAAGACAGGCACAAACATTTGGATGGGTGTCAGTTGATCAACAATTTTTCTTTTAGATTGGTGTGGCTATGTAATGATTAGAAGTATGTTTTGGGTTCTATGCTAGGACTTATTTATGATTCTTAAGTCAGCTTTTGAAGGAAATGAACAAATAAAAACCTACAAGTTAAACAAGACTTTTGTGGATACAGACATATACATAGAATACCATATCTGATGACTTGATACAAAAGTAGATAAATCTGAAGTGAGAAATAAAAAATATATACATTTTTTTTTCTTATTTGTTTATGAAGTAAAGAACAATAGGCTTTCTGGTCTAATTTAATCAAATACAAGGCAAAACTTATTTCAAATTACTGTGGACATGGGGACCTCCCCCAAAGAAAAGACTTTCATTTAACTGTTATAAATGTTTAATAAAGATTACTGGCTGTTCTTTAATTACCTAGTGCTACTCTAACAGAAATACTACAAGCCTGTGGCTTCACAGGCAGACATTTGTTTTCTCACAGTTTAGTGGACTCGAGCATTGACACGAGTAGGCGGCTTTTTCTTTGTTTTGTGTGGAGGAAGGTTCTTGTCTCCACAGATCTGATTCTTTGTAGATCTCCATGTATCCTGACATCTATCTTTCCTTTTTCCTCCTCTCCTTCCTCCCGTCCCTCCTTTCTCCTTGCTTGTTATAGCTCAAAAGAGATTGATTCAAGATACAATTCCAAATCTGAAATCTTACCTTCTGACTCGTTTAAACAAATATGGGTAAAAGATTTTAGGCATATTACGCCCTGGAGCGAAATTCCTCTTCATCTGTGATCCTGTGAAATCTGCACTATAAGTTATCTGCTTCCAAAGCACCATGACGAAACAGGCACAAGATGGACATTTCCATTAAAAATGTGAGAAATTAGAAAGAGCATGGATTGGGTCAGGTACAGTTTTATCCTCAGACTGATATGTTTGCTCTTTAATGCTCTTGAAAAAAAAGCAAGATGGTACACATTGTGGGAAGTGGTATGGCGCGTCCTCAAACAACTGGAAATAGAAATAACCTATAATAGAAATAACTTAGCAATCCTTTTACTTGATGTATAGACCCGAAAGAAATAAGAACCATGACACAAACAGATACATGCACACCTATGTTTATCACAGCACTGTTCACAGTAGCAAGAAGATGGAAACAAATAACCATCAGTGGAAGAATGGATAAGGAAACTTTGGCACATTCACACAGTGGAATACTGTGCATCACTAAAGAATAATGATGAAACTGTGAAGCACTTCATACATGGATGGATTTGAGAACATTATGCTGAATGAAATTAGTCAATCACAAAAGGATCAATATTGTTTGCAACCATTAATACAAAAGAAAAAAATCCAGATAAACATCTTCATGCCAAAAGAAGCAGACTTGATGGTTAACATGGGTAGAGGGGAAGGGAATGCAGGGGAAGCAATAAGCTAGAAGATAGGCATGTGTGCATTAACTTGGGTGAAGGACAAAGTATTGTTCTACATGAGGGAAAAGGAAAATCAAGGAGGTCAGGACAAACTATTTGGGAAATTTGATAAGTAGTTTAAGTTATTGAACATAAAATTGATTATCTGAAATGTAAACCCCCACCTAATTCACAAAGAAACATTTAACAAAAAAGTAATTTAGTAGAGGATGAACTGTTTTTCACAAAAATGAAAGCATAAACCAAGATGGTGTATAAACCTGGGTTGGACAGAGAAACAAAACTAGTGATACTCATATGTATAAAAAAGAACTTTATTTATCAAGAAGTAATCTTATCTCAGGGAGCGATGCCAACCCCAGCCCACTACAACTTAAATCCTTGGGTCCAATGCTAGTCAGAACCCACTTCAGACTCATATAGCTGTAGGCAGGTGACACAGACAGGTGAAGCAGGATGCAAGAGTCATGTGGATCCTAGGTCCGAGGAAACATCAGAGGGCACAGCAACCTCTTGGGGTCAAATGGGGCTGTCCCTGGAGGGGGTACATAGTTCCAGCTTGTAGGAAGATGATGAGGCAGCGAAAGAGGGGAGTGGTCCCTAATGTGTCTTTTATTAAAAGGCCACAGGTCCCAGGAGGCATTATCAGGCTGACCTGATAGGTTGGACGGCACCTCTCCACAAGTGCAAGTTGACATAAAATCTTAACTGCCATGGACTACCCCTTTTCAATTCGACACCTGTACACAACACTTCAACCACATAAAATCTCCAAAGACAATGGTAAAATCATGTTTCTGCCTAACAGGATAAACTAAAACTTGCACAGCTGAAAACATATGAGCCCCACTTAAGTCTTATATTCTGTAAGTGAAAAAAACAAATAGTCTCTGCCTAACAATGGCAGTTTTGTAAACTTAATCCTGTCAACATCTTCCCCAACCCACGAAAGTGTGTAAACCAGTCACTTCAAGCCTTTACCCCCATTTTGGGTATCCAATTTCTAAACAGCCCATTTCTATCAACCCGGTGTTCTGAGGAGACAGGCATGCTCTTTGATGTGAAGAATCTTCATTCCAGTTGGAACCTGTATCCATAAGCAAAGTCAAATCTAGAGCAGGCCATCACCATCAAGTCCGCTGTGGGGTGAAAGGAGAGAGCGGTCCCCACAAATCATCAAAGGTCCGGTAGGCACAATTGTACAGCAATAATAAGTAAAGATTATAGTAAAGTCATAGAGAGCATGAGAGATAGAAGATAGAGTCAAGTAATGGAGTCAGACACAATTCATGGTAGCATTGTCACCTCCACCTTGCTTGGTGGTCCACGTGGGGGTAACCTGGCCACGAGAGCAGGAGCAGCTTCGGGGGCTGAGAACCGGGGAGAGCTCCCGGGCCCCCAGGGAGCTGGAGAGGGCTCTCTCTTTATTGCTAACCAAGCATTATATCACTTTAGGGGGACATGATTACAGAATCACACATCACAGGAAGGGGCAGTACAATAGGTATACACATTATAGGAAGGGGATCTATGATAGGCATAAGTGTAACAGGAAGGGGATGAGCTAGGGGTGTGCCTATAGGAATGGGAAGGTCTAGGGGTATACATGTAACAAGATGGGCGAACCCTAGATTCATGATGGCAGCCTAATCTTGGTCATCCTTAGGCGGGTTTGACCTCTCTGGCATGTCCTACAAAGAAACAGACACTACTATCCTTATCAGAAGGGAGTGGGCCCTACTTGTTGTGGGATAAACAGTGGTGTCTGTTTGGTCTAGATGGCTGATAACTCTTAGGGAGAATGACCCCTAATCTACTCCTGATGACCTCCAAGTGTATAGTCATTCTCAAGCAGCTAAGTCTGGTATATATTTGGGGGAGACAGCTTGAAAGAAATCCTTCTGTTTCCCACAGTCCGCAAGCAACATGTACAAGTTCACATGGTCAAATATCATCTTCATCTAGTTGGGTTCTGTTGGACTCGTTCAGTCCTAGCCATTACAAGTAGGTCAATGGGTACTGTGGCAAGCTTCAGACCACTGGCCCCTTCATGTACTCTCAACAACCCTATCTCCCTTCGGCTTGGTCATTGCCATCGGCTCGGATTCCAACCAACTCTTTAAACTTCAGATTAGTCTGACCCATTTTCATTTCTCTTCTAGTGCCTTTGAGTTGTCAGTGGCCAGACTCAACCCATCTCTTTCTTGCTGCATATTTCCCCCACTTCCATGCAACAAGTGGATCCAGGTGTGGTCACTTAGCAAGCATTTCAGGCTGCCAGAAGGTTCCTTTTAATGTTCAGCCATTAGTTTTCTCATAGGCACATGTGTTTCTTTTTCTTTCTTTTTTTTAAACAGCAGATTTATTGGCATCTTATCCACATATAATTCTATAATTCAGTCATATCAAGAAGAGTTGTACAGTAATTACCACAATCAATTTTAGAACATTTCGTCTTTATTGTACTCCTTGTTATTTATGTAATTTTTCCAATTGTAAAAAATATACACAACAAAATATTCTCCCATTCAACAACTTCTACATGTTATAATTCAGTCGCATTCCAAATAGATCAATGAGTACTGTGGCAAGCCCCGTAGACACATACATAACTGGAAGGGAATGTACTGGAGGCATACATATAACAGGATGGGGAGGTACTAGGGGCATACAGGAAGGCGCATACATAACAAGGTGGGCGGGTTGTAGGGTTAAGATGACAACTTGGCGTCCCTGAGCTGTTCCTGAGCTCTTCTCCAGAGGAACAATGATCCTTATCACAAGGCAGCTGGTTTGGCCTAGGGTGAGGTAGACAATAGAGTCTGATTGCTCTTGATGGCAGATAGCCTCTGGGTTTACTAGAAAGCAGCCGTGGGCTTAATAGAAACATCTTTAAGTTGACATTATTATGGGGGATATTGTGGGGAATAACTTTTAGTTAGGAGAATGTTGACTTTTTGAATCTTGAGCAAGTAGTTTACCTGTGGATGTACCCAGGCTGGAGAATATGACTGGGATTAATCTCCAACTCACAATGTGAAGGACTTTCTCTACCAGTCTCCCTCCTGGGAGGCATAGAGAATTTGTCTGCATACACTCTCAGTTTCTCTCAGTCTTAGGCTCAGGCCAGATCAAACCAGGGCCTGGCCTTCTATCAGTGTTTTTGTGTAAGCAGCAAGGCTTTTGCCTCAGGTAAGTCCAACAGGCACTTCACTTCCCTGAGCTTCAATATAACAATCCATTACATTCCTTTGCTCCTTTTCAGGTAGTAGTTACCAGTGTTTAAGAATCAAAAATTTCACTTCCCATGCCCTTTCTAGATCCTGAGTAAAGCAAATGGCCTTATCTAGCCACCTCTGGCCATCTAAAGGAGAAAGAAATCCAACTCCACCTGATTGCCATGAGGAAGAGCCTCCATTCTCCATCTTCATGATTTGTTCTTCAGGACCACGCTCGCCCATGGTACCAGATCTATTGGGTTGGGTTTTTCAGAGAAGCAAAATCAGCGATATTTATGTGTGTTTGTATATAGAAAGAGATTTTTGTCAAGAAATGGCTTACATGATTGTGGAAATAGGTATGTCCAGTCAGGTTCAAGTTAGGCCTTCTCCTGACTCAGGGAAACTGATGAACAGGAAGCAGGGTAAGGAAGCAGAAAACAGTGGGAATCACAGACTGGTGGATGCAGACATAACATGAATCCAAAGTTGGCTGAATGAATCCACCATTGGTAGTCTGCTAACGGCTCCTGTGATGGGCAGGTGACACAACAGGAGATTGAGGAACCAGATGGTAGATCCCACTTAATCAGAAAGTGAAGGGCCAAAGAAAACTTGATTCTACTGGCTCTTTCTTAATATAAAAGGCCACCCCTCCCAAGAGGCATCATCAGTCTGTGACCTGTTTGACAGGTTGGACTGCCCCTTGCACAGTGAACGTTGACATAAAATCTACCTGCCACTGAAGGAGACTAAGTCTTGGATGTAGAAATCAGGGGATCTAGTTGAGGAAAGAGGTAACGTAGCTTCGAGGATGATGGGAAAGGAGAGCGTAGGTGAGAGCTGTGTTAGCACGGCAGGGTAGCTGGTTAAGTTGCGAGTGCTTCACCTGCTGTGCAAGAGATCTCGCCAGTCTGAACTGCCTCGCCAGTCTGAACATCTCATGATCCAGTGCAGGGCTACTGAGACCTCTGCTGTTTGAACCCTCTCTGTGCCTAAAACACCTTCAACCTGGGCACGTGCTGCCAGAAACACCTCAGATTCAAGAAATGACTTACTAATTTTAAGGAAATACAGAATGTCATACAGAAAAGAGAATACTTATACTGCTTATATTCATTCTGAAGAACATTTACCATATATGGTCATAAAACTGTTAAAACTGAGTACTGAACTTAAACAGCTTTATGGGACAGGGAAGGAAAAAGAACTGGATCCTCATATTTCATATCTCTACTGGTCATTCAGTGACCTGAGGGTAATTACCAAAAGAATCACCTGGAAGGTGAAAGTGGGTACCTCCCCCTTGCAGAGGGGTCTCGGGGAGGAGATGAGCCAGTCAGGGTGTGATGTAACAACGATGAAAAATACAACTTTCTTCTAGTTCCTAGATGTTTCCTCCCCGCTCCCACTACCATGACTCGAATTCGACCTTGCAACTCTGGCTAGACCAAAGGATGTACACTGGTACAGATAGGAACTGGAAATACAGGGAATCCAGGGAATACAGGGGCAGTGTTGTGAGTGGCAAAACAGGGAGGGTAGAGGGAGAGTGGGTAGGAAAGAGGGAACTGGTTACAAGGAACTATATGTGACCTCCTCCCTGGGGGATGGACAACAGAAAAGTTGGTGAATGGAGACATCGGACAGGGCAAGATAATGACAAAATACCAATTTATGAACTATCAAGGCCTCATGAGGGAGGGGAGAGCGGGGAGGGAGGGGAAAAATGAGGACCTAATGCTGGAGGTTTAAGTGGAGAGAAAATGTTTTGAGAATGATGAGGGCAATGAATGTACAAATGCGCTTTACACAATTGATGTGTGTATGGATTGTGATAAGAGTTGTATGAGCCCCTAATAAAATGATTTTTTTTAAAAAGTGGGTACCTCAGGAGAAGATAGTTGGGGAGGGATGAAGAACTGTTATTTTCCAGAACAAACCTTGTAGGGCCATTTAACTTTATGTGAAAAAATTATCCCCCCACCCCTGAGACAGACAGACAGACAGACACACACACACACACACACACACACACACACAACAAACCTTGTAGGGCCATTTAACTTTAAACTGTGTGAAAAAATTATCCCCCCACCCCTGAGACAGACTCTCTCTCTCTCTCTCTCTCTCTCCAAAGAAGAGTTGGAGATCTATTGAATAGCTGGTTTCTTGCATGTCTTTTCCCTTCAATGGAATATAAAAGGACTGGGGCCCATGTTAACAGACTAAAACCAGTGGGCTTTGTTTGTTGTTTGTTTTTTTGTTAAAGACAGGTAGAAGTAGACCTGAGGTGGGTACCTCAGGATTTTAAGGAACAAGAGGGAAGCCAAAGTTACCCCAGAAGATTTTAGGGATTGGGAAGAAAAGAGAAAATCTTGTTGAGGAATAAAAGCCTTTTTGACTCTAAGAAATAGGGCATTTTCTAACCTGTTCCCTCCCTGCCCATGTACTTTTGATAAGGGAAACTATGTATGAGGGAGTACCCCCCCTCTAAAAAACAACCCACGGAATTTTTCCCTCAAAGCTATGTATTTAATTTTTTTAATAAAGCAAGGTCAGGTGAGTAATATGTGTGAGACAAGAGAGGCATGCTATTTTTTTTGCCAAAAACTGACACACTGAGGTGGCCATATGAGCAGGTGGAATGAACTCCAAATGCACTATTCCCCTCACATTAAAAAAAAACCCCACAAATGAGCATGACCTTGATCTTTGATTTCACTTGAACTTTTGGGGGGCAAGGTGATGATGGCATTTTCCACTGGCTTGATTGATGTTTGCTTTTGGGGTCATAAGAATAACACCATGTCACATCATCACCAGTAATGAATGCCCTTGGGAAAAAGTCTGGGTCACTTTGGTGCTGTTCTTTCAAAGCACGGCATGTTTCCATTCCACTGAATGTTTCATTTGTTCAGGACCTCAGAATGAAGTTTGTCATCAATCGATATTTCACCTTTTTTGAAAAGAGAAAACAACTCATACACGTGAGTTTTTCTCATGTCTTTGTAAGCTGTGCTCAACATCACGACAGTTTCCGTGGCATTTTCCTGAGCAGGAAACAGAATTTCATGGTTGCACGGCCATCACAAAAAATGAGATTGGAGCGAACGAGCGAAACTCTCTCTATGAAAAAAGTCAGTGTGTCCAGAGAACCTTCCCAGGCAATGTTACTGGGTATACTAACTCCGAGCAAGTTGACTGATACAGGAAGGGGGTTTGGGGGGAGGGTTGCATACTATCAAAGCTCTGCCCAGTGGAGCTTTTTCTGTTGTTGTTTCCTTTTGAGGAGGGTACCACCTCATATTCCCTACATGTCCACCTGCCTGCCTGCCTACCTACCCTACTGTGTTCGTCTGGGTTGACTAGAGAAACAAACTCATAAACACATGTGTATAAGAAAGAGCTTTATATAAAAGAGCAATTGTAAGCAAATGTGGCAAAGAAAGCCGATGGTGCCAGGCTATCAAAGATAAAGCGTCTGGGGCCTTACAGGCTTGAAGGTAAACAAGCGGTCATCTAGCTCAGAAGCAACAAAGCCCACAGGAAAGAAGCATACCAGCCTGTGTGACCACTAGGTGTCA